TCAGAGCCCGGCTCCCCGCGCTCCGCCTACTCTTCGGACGACAGCGGCTGCGAGGGCGCACTCAGCCCCGCGGAGCGCGAGCTGCTCGACTTCTCCAGCTGGTTGGGGGGCTACTGAGCGCCCCGCGCCGCGAGGTAAACCCAGGGCAACGGGGGAGAGGGAGTGGGGGAGGTCGGGGAGGCCCGGGAGGCCGGGCGCCGTGGAATGGAGAGGCCTCACCGCTCACACCCTAACAGCCCGCGGAACCGAGCGCCAGGCCCGGGGATGGCTTTGATTTCGCTCACTGTTCATTTTCCCCAAACTTTTTCAAGCCTGTGCAAGACCAGCGTTTGTTTGTCCGGGGTTGCAAAACTTCCTCTCGCCGCTCCGCCGCCGAAGAGGGAGGGGGCAGACGGGGGAGGGGGCCGGCCCTGGGGCGGGTGAGGCCCCGAATGCAAGCGGATTCCGGGGCAGATTAGGGTGCTGGGAGGCGGGGTGACTTTGCATGGCAAATCGCGCGCCCGGCCCGGTGCAGAAATGAGTCCGCGGGTGCGGAGCCCTGACTCACTGCGGCTCCGAGCGCCGCCCCGCCCCCCGCCCTGGCTCGGGCCGCAGACCAGAGCAGAGGCACCCACGGACTCGAGTTCCAAAATCAGCCAAGCAAACGAAACCGCCGCCTTCGCTTGTCGGGGAGGGGGTGGGGACAGGGCCGGATCCCGCAGTAACGCGCGCCCCTGTCCCCCTTCCCATCCAGCAGCCCAGCCCTGGACGCCTAGCGACGTCCGCGCTCAGCACCTGGGAGCCAGCACGGTGGACCGCCCGCGCCTCGCTCTCTGCCGTCCCGCGAGCCAAGCCACCACCCAGCCAGGACCCCCGCCGACGCTCCCCTGGGCGTCCAACCTGACTACGTACCAATGTGGAAATGGGTTCCGCCCAACACGGCCCGACCACCTCACCCCAGAGGCTCTCCACGGAGACCGGACGGGGCTGGGGCACTGACCCCCCGAGGTTTTCCTGACGGGAGAGATTTAACGGCACAGAGTATCTGCTTTTTGTACCTGAACTTGAACTGCCCAGGGACACTGGCAATATGAAGACTTATTTTTGTGCAAAGACTCGTTAACTTGGAACATGATAAAGATGGTCTCTCCCTGTCCAGCCGCCAGTACCTGGACTTTTCCAGCCTGGCCTAGATCTGGCCGTGGCAGCCTTTGAGGGACAGGGTCCCTGGCTGGGGTCCCTAAGCAGCAGTGGGCTGACCTGGGTGGGGTTGGGGGGGGCTGTGCTGGGAAACCTGTTTTAGGGAAAATGGACTATGAATAAACCAGTGCTGTGTATCAGCGTGTTGGGGTGCCCTCTCCAGACCCTCAGGCCCCCCCTTTCCCCAGTGAGGACACGGGTGGGAGGGAGTGGCCCAGACTCAAGACCCTGCAGGCCTAGTCCCTGTGGTCATTTCTCCCTAGCTCCATCCCAGGCCTGGTCCCTGGGGTCACCTGTAGAGTGAGCCTCGGGGAGCCTGAGGTCTGAGAGGCCAGCTCGGCTCCCACTATGCCAAAGAAAGTCCGGCACCTTGTGAGGCAGGGGCTTCTGGCAGGTATGGGCGGGTGGGGGCCGGGGGGGGAGGGGTCCAGGCCAGGTGACTCTACAGCTGGGAAGTGGAGGTCTAGATGCTGCTGACCAACGCAGGTGTCTGGCCCGAAGCGATCTGGCGTGAGCAGCCTGCCCTCTGCCTCGGGGTCCAGACTGGGTGCGGGTCGCCACTGCCTGCCAAGGACGGAGTGACCGCGGGGAAGTTGCTTGACCTGCAGAGAGGGGTGATGGCAGAGCCGCCCTATCGGGTTGTGGAGGAACTTAGGGGAGGTGCCTGGCAGTGTCTGGCCCCTGGTCCTCAGCCCCGAGATACTGCGCCTGTGGCCCCAGCCCAGACGTGCTGTTCAGGCCACAGGGGCCTGGGTGGCAGCAGCGAGTCCCTGACCGCCTCTGTTCCCGAGTGGGTGCTTGGGTGCCGTGAGAGCTGCCCTGGACGGGAGCGAGGCAGGCCCCCTCCCCCGGGCTTGCCCGGCTCAGACGGCCTCCTGGAGATTACTCAGCTCTACCTTTGACCCGGCCTCGGCACCTTTGAAGTCTAGCGGTGCCCAAAGCTGTCTTTTATTGCAGGGTGGGGGCGGGGTTGATGGGGATCCCCCAGGCTGTTTTAAGGTGCTGAACGCACCCCTTCATAGGGAGTGGTTGGGTCGGAGCCGTTGGTGAGAGCAGATGGCTCCAGGGTTACCATGGCGATGGGGTCCTGGGTCTGACGAGGCTCAGATGTGGCTGGGGTCGGCTGACCAGGGGTGGCTTGGGGCTGCAGGGCTGAGTGGAGCAGTCTCCCAGGGACAGAAGGGAGCACGTTGCATGGCCACCCAGCAAGGGACCCACACCCCTGTCAGTGACCTCACCAAGCCACAGGACATGGGCTCTCTTGTGACTCCTGGCCTTGGCTCCGGGGAAGGGCGTGGACACGGGCTGGAGGTGGGCGGATGGGAGCACGCCGGGTCTGGGGGAGGAAACCTCCCGTCCTGGGCGCTGGCTGGCGAGCTGTGAATGGAAGTCCGTGGGTGCCCAGCACTGCCTTCTTACAGAATATTCCAAACACACGCAAAAGCCGAAGCCTTTCTGGGGACACGGAGCCCGATGCACGAGCAGTGTCCACGCGCCAGTTGCGAGGCTGGCCATTGGGGAACCCCCGGCCGGAGACGCCTCAGAGAAGCCCCGTTACCGATGTCAAGGAGCGTGGGGGGTGCAGCCACTCCCACCCCGCGTGGCTTCGAAGTGTCCCTGCCACCACCTCGCTTTGCCTGTGAATTCTCCGTGTGTGCCTCCAGAGGAACCCCACACCGCCGTCCCCCAAGTGAACGCAGTCCCCTCCCTTCATCGAGTACCCGGCCCGAGGCATGGCCCTCAGGTCATCTCGGGGTTTGCACGGCGGATTTCGCAGGGAGCGCCTGGCCAGGGCCCCGCGCTTTGGTACTGAAGAAATGGGGAGTCGTTTGCTCTCCGGCCCCCCACTCCCTGGGGTTGCCGACGCCCCCCCCAGGTGTTATGAATCGCGTGTCTGTGCCTGTGTTTTCTGTAAGTGGGGGGCGGGGGCCAGAAGCAGACGTGCGGTCAGGTCCTGGCTTGGTTTTGGTTGCCTCGTTTCAGAGGCTGCGTCCCATCAGGAAACAGCAACGAGCTGTCCAAGGGGGAGAGGGCTGTGGCCGGTGGTCAGCCAGGACAACGGGCACGTCCCCCGGGCCTGCTCAGCACCCTTAGGAGATGGCCCCGCTCCCCCCACCCCACCCCACCAGTGTCACTGATGGAGGCCAAGCACAGCCCCACTGTACAGAACTAGAAATGGCAGCTCCCGGAGAGCTCCGAAGTCCCAAGCTCGGCGGCAGTGGTGGGATCGGGGCCTCAAGCCAGGGACGGCTTCATTCCTAAGTCCTTGCAGTGTGACCCTTCCAGAGGGCGGGGCCGCCTGGAGCCTGTCCTGGGGGGACACCGGGCAAGTTCCTGTTCTGGATCAACAGGCCCAGATAGGTCCCCACCCGTCCCAGTGTCCTGCGGCTCTGCCGGGGTTGGGGGGAGGGGGCCGTGGTCCAGGCCTTGCCCCCGCATGCAAGTCGATTCTGGACGGAAGGTGACCAGGGGCTGGAGAGCAGAGTTCTGGCAGGAAGCCCTGGGAACCCCGACCCACGGGATGGGGGCACGGCGCTCCTGGCCTTGGGTAAGCCTGGCTGGGGCCGGGTCTATACCGAAGTGACCCTACAAAGTGAGACCCGGCAGACTCTGGGTCGGGCACAGCTGGGGGAGCACGGGGTCCAGAGCTCTGGGGAGCACTCGGGGGTGCTTCGTTTTTGTCTGTTTGTGACAGGAGTCGCCCCATGGAGGTGGCTCTGCCATCCTGGAGGGTCTCTGTGGCCAAAACTTGCCCACTTTGTCCCGACCATGTCAGAAAATAGCCGTGTCCCCCTAGGCCGTCCACATGGAGGGCTCTCAGATACAGTCTGCTCCGAGGACAGAGGTCCACGCACCCAGGCTTCCCTCAGGTGGCCCGCCCGGGTCCTATGCCCATTCATTCCGACCCCTTCACTGGGCATCTTTGTGCCAGGCACTCGGGGTACACCGCTGTGCCTGGGGGAAACCCTGCCTCACAGAGCCCACGCACTGATGAAGGACACACACAAGCAGCAGCCCTGGCCACTGATGGGCACACTGGGTCCCAGGCCACCAGCGGCAGTCCTGGGTCGGGCAGACCGAGCCCGGTCAAAGCCGAGCTGGAAATGGTTCTTGCCTGTTCCAGCCTCGGGAGGAACCCGCCCAGGAGGAGGAGGTCTCGGGACAGCTGGGACTGTTCATTCTGGCTTCAAATTCGGGGAGGGGGCCCTGGCAGCCCGCCTGTCGGTCTGCCTCTGAAGCCTCTAGGGTCTCCGAACATTCTGGGAAAACAAATAAAAAGGGTCGTTTCCGGGCTTGGGGCAAAATGAAAACACAGCGCCCTCGTTCAGAAATTGGGGGAACGGTGAGGCGTGAGCGGCGACAAAGAGCTTTTCCTTGTGTCCTGGTCTCCGTCTCGACCTGGTGTTTCCTACTTGCTATGTAATGTCGTTCTAGGAAAAATTAACAGCTTAGATGGTTGGCATGAGTTTTAGCGCCTGTCTCCCTACGGAGCAGGGCCAGCCGGTCGCCGACACGGCGTCCCCAAAACGACACCACTGGCCGCTGCCCGACCGGAGGAGACGCCGCACGGAAACCGTGTCGCTGGTTTCTGCTGGTTCGGTTTTTCTCGCCTCGAGGCGCACGGTCCCCCTTCGCCCTGTCCCTTCGGCGGCCGTCACAGGAAGGACGGCAGGGTCCACGCGCGTTCCGTGCTTCTGCGTTTCCAGCCAGTCCGGGTCTCCGTGAACGTGGCCGTGGCCTGAGGGCCCTGTCCTGCCCTGCTTCCCTGTCCTGCGCTGGCCCCTCCGTGCTTTGGGTCTCGCTGGCCTGCCTCAGTGGGGTCCACGCCGTCGAAGGTAGAAGTAAGAATTTCGAGACGGCCTTCAACCGCGCGTGTCCGCCCATCGCCCACGCCCGTGGGCCGGTCCTCGTCCTGTCCCTAGAGCGGGGGACGGGAGCGCCATCTGGAGAGGTGGCGGGCACCTGATCCCCGCCCCACCGAAGGGACAGAGGCGAGCACGCCCCGCTCAGCCCCAGGAGGGACGGGCACGCAGTGTGCTCACGCTCCCTCCTCGTGGAGGCTGTGGGCGGCCAGCGTCACCGCAGCCTCAGAGCCCCTTGGCTAGGGCTGGACCCAAGGACCTGCCTCTACTGCTGCTGCAGTGTGTGTGTGTCTGTGGTGGGGGCGCATCCAGGCTGGGGAGGGGCCACGAAGACTCCTGCTCAGTGACACCCACTCTCGTGTCCTCACTGTAAAGTGGGGGAGATGTTGCGTGTGGCCTATAGGGCTCAGGGGGAAGGCCATAAGGTGGGCTGCTCCCCTGAAGCCAGCAGGTTGCAGGCACTGGACCACACACACCTTCCCGGCCCTGTCCTGCCCTGCTTCCCTCCGGGTGTCCTGAACCCCCATGGGATGGGACCGGGGAGGGGGCTGGCCACACTGCTGACAGAGGGTGGGGAGGGCAGGAGGGGGCCCCCACTGGACACTGCGGAGGGGGTGGGCAGAGCCCTCCTGCTGGGTGTGAGGGGAAGGGGTCCCACAGGAGGAGGCTCCTGACCCTTTTCCCAGCAGTAAAGGTCGGGGGTGGCTTTCTGTGGTGGGGGGCTGCACCAGTGTGGGTGGGTGACGTGCGTGGCCACAGCCTCGGTCTTTACTCCCAGGTGACCTCTGGATGCAGTCATCCTGAGCCTGTGGGCTGTGAGTGAGTCCTGAGCTCTTAGGGAATTATGGGGGGACAGGTCCCCCATGGAATCCAGCCCCCTCTGAGGGGTGTCGCCCCCACATTCAGGCCCAGGGAGGCTCAGTGGCTGGCCTGAGGTCCACAGGTACCAGAGCTGTGCAGAGGGCAGAGCCACCAGCTGAGACGCCATCACGCCTTCCTTCATGCCTCCCTCGGGCCCCCACACCTGCCCGGAGGGGCCTGTCACCGCTGTTTCTGGCTGGGAGTGGTCGGTCTCGTCAGCAGTGAGTGACTGAGGGAGGAGCCAGGATGCCGGCTCAGGTCATGGGACACCCGGCCTGCACATGGGTGGGGCATGGGGAGGTGCAGGGGTCTGGAGCGGGGG